AACTGTTTGTGAGACTGAAAGAACGGGTGCATGAGAAGCTGAAGGGATGGAAAGAGAAGAAAATGTCGGTGACAGCTAGAAAAGTCCTTATTAAATATGTTGCGCAAGCACAACTTACATATGTCATGTTAGTGCTCAAAATCTCATATGGAATTATCGATGAGGTACATAGTTTGATCACCAATTCTAGTGGGGACAAAAGAATGATGAGAGGAGAGCGCATTGGATTATACATGAGGAGCTAGTAACATTGAAAGAAGACGGTGCATTGGGTTTCCCTGACCTAAAGGTGTTTAACCTAGTGCTTCTAGCGAAGCAACTATGGTCCCTTTATCAGCGTCCAACTTCACTTATATCATGCATTTTGGCTGCCAAATATCACAAGCGTAGCTCAATCTTGGATGCTTGTATAGGTAGTCTCTCAAGCTTTATTTCGAGAAGTCTGATGAGCGCGCAAGATGTCTTGTGTAGTGGGCTGCGGATTGGTTATTATTAGTAGGTGAGGGTTGGGGTGATTATTGGCTACCTAATATGAAAACGGCTTACGTACCTTCTGTTCCCAGAGGACTACCGGTAGACTTGTTAGTTCATGATCTTATTGACCCCGAGACTGAGGTATGGGGTGCGTCTTGGTCAATAGTTGATTTCCGACGGCCATTGCGCAGAATGTGTTAGCTATCCCATTCGAGGGAGTGATGAGCATGATTGCCTTATATGGAGCCATAATGATTATGGATGATACATGGTAAAAAATGGGTATGAGAGGTGGTTGTTGGGTTTTAAGGCCGAGGAAGGAATTGTACCGAAAGGAGATGAGGGACTTTGGAAAGAAATATGGACAATGAAAGTGCCACTGACAATCTGATACTTCATATGACAATTTACTCGGGAAGCTTTACCTGCAGGTGTAGAAGTGTGCACGAAAAGCGAGAAGTGGAGTGTCATTTGTCCATTTTGTAACCAGTAGGAAACGCAACTACATATGTTCTTTAAATGCAGTTGGAGTTGTCCTATTTGGCGAGGATCGCCATGGGTGAGTGCCTTCAATATGCATGGGTTACCGGATTGCCTATCGTGGGCACCAGCGTGTGTGTGCCTTAAATGAGGAAGAGGATGCATTAATTGGGGGACCACCACATATAGACCACAAAAATAATAAACCACAACACCAAAAAAAATCAAAAATATTTGGGATCGTTTGATTTTGGTGATAGTTAAATTAATGCATTGTCATCAATACATGCATAATAATATACATGTATATAAGAAAGCATACCACAAGCTCAACACATTACAAAATTCATAATACATACCAGACAACTCATAAAAGATTACCACAAAGCTTAGAAAACATATCAGAATCTCACCACGCCACAAAAGTAATAAACCACACCACAAATATATAAAAAAGAACACACTAGAAAACTTATAAAGCATATCATAAGTTTTTAAAGCACATCACAAGTTTCGTTAAACATACCAAAAAACTCATTAGGCATATCACAAGTTCATTTAAACATATCACATATTTATTAAAGCACAACACAAATTTCTTAACGCACATTACAAATTTCCCGAAACATACTGAAAATCTCATAAAGTCTATCACAAATTTGTAAGCATATCACAAACACATCACAAGTTTCTTTAATACGACCACAAATATTCTGAACCATACCTAAAACAATCACAAACCAAGCCAAACACTATAAAATACACTAGAATCATCACTGCCATTCCAGTTAATTAAGACTTACTAGTTACTACCACGCGATTCTGGAACCAACATTATAGCTAAAGCTCTACAAAGTTCGTTGGCAGGAAGGGAAAACAAATGAATGAAAGAAAGCGACAAAAAGCAAAACAAAAGGATCCTTCAAATGTGGTGGCTGTCCTTGAATTCAAACAATCGGTTCATCCAGGGCGCAGGCGACGTCTGGGATTTCGTTGGCGATCACATCATCGGCACGGGAGTCGAATGTGAATAACAATAATAGCACCGACTAATAAAGCCGAGAACCAGAACCAGGATAGGGTCTTAAAGGCTTTGGAGCGCGGCAATTTGGCATTGACAGTAGCGCGGTAGTTAAATCAAAATATGATTAGATATCATAAGACATAAGCAATTGATATAGAACGAACCAAGAACGGACAGAGAGATAGAGCGAGTCGAAAATAAATATCTATGTCCCGCCCCACTCTACGATATCACTAATCGGGTAATACCCATACTATCACTGCTCAAGTAAGGTAATACTCAACGAGACGGGTCAAATTGTCATCTCCAGGTTCGAGTCCCTTTAGTAGTACCTAATAACAAAACAAAAAAAACATATATCACCCTTATCTAAAAAAAAAAAAAAATTGTCATCTCCAAATTAATATCCTTATTCATTTTGTTAGCATAGCTTGTGGGAAAAAAATCCCAAAGTACACTAGTTATTAAAAAAAATTCCCAAAATACATAAGATAAAAAATTTTCCAAAAGTACACATGTTTGAGCATCACCGTTTTTGACAAAGGCGGTGATGGGTATCACCGCGTTTAATAAACACGGTGAAATTTCACCGTTTTCAAAAAAACGATGACGTATTCACCGTCTTAGTCTAAAATGGTGAATGCATCACCGTTTTAAACTGAGACGGTGAAGTCGTCACCGTTTTAATAAAAAACGGTGAGGCCTTCACCGTTTTAATCGACCACGATGAAGTCGCTGACGTGGACAGACGCGGGGTATTCACCGCGTTAGACAAACACGGTGAATACCCCGTGTTTGTTTAAGTCAGCGATCCCGCCATTGTGCTTTCACCGTGGCCGTTAGATGCAGTGAGGCGCGGATCGTGGTTTTTTTCCCACGATCCGACGCCTCACAGCACGCCACGTCGACTCGGGGGAACCGTGTTTGGGAACAGCGAGGCCTTCACCGCGTCCCTCAAACGCGGTGAAGGCTCCCCTAATAACTGCTGCGCAGTTCCTCCCCCCTCACCCCCCCCCCCCCCCCCCCCCTCCTTCCCCCAACTATAAATGCCCCCTTCCTTTCCAACTTACAACTCACCCCACAACAATTTCACTTCTTTCTCCCTCAATTTATCCGCTCTAGTCTCGTTCTAAATATGCTCTGTGGTTGCGGCTAAGTCCGATCTTCCACATCAGAAAGAATTACTAGAGTTTGACCCTAAAGCCCACATCCCGCTAAGTTCCCGTCCCTTACAAACCTAAACTCGTCAAAATGCCGCCTCATCCTCGTTATCATCAGTATCTTCCTCCTCCTCGCTCACTGATCTCAAATCTTCCTCAGTATCCTCGTCGCTCGACTCGAATGGATAGCTCGGGCTAGAAGGATCAACACGACCACGATCACCAACATCGTCCTCTCGCTCATGTGAAGTACGCCCTGATCGAATGGTATTCTCGATTTCAGACCACTCTGGCCCCCAAGCAGGCCATTGAACACCATCGGCCTCAACAAATGGGGCTGGTTGAGGAGGTTGCGAGTATTTGTCCCATCTTGCACTACTCGATCCACCGTAGTTGATTGAACCACCACCCTCCCCGTAACCTCCTGTATAACCACCGCCTTGGTAGTTGCTCGAACTACCACCCCATTTGTACCCTCCTGCAAAACCATCATCATAAGAATACTAGTGAGAATGAGATTCACCGACCGCCTCGGTCTCAACATAACCTCTGCAAGCCGGACTTGGTTATCGCTTAGAAACTGTAACATCATCGTAACCGCGTCATCATCGTTTATGACAACTTCTTGGAACACGACCCCGCCAGCACTCATGTCTGGATACCAGTAAGTAATTTTGCCAAGTCTCGTCTGTCCGCTCGTACAAACCCTTTCTGCACAAATATCACAGAGTTCTTGAAAATTGAATCGGGAATCAATTTTCAGCATAATGGATTCGTCGTCCTCGTAATCAATGCCTATGTCAGAGTTTGTCACCCTTCCATTCCACCGAATAGTAAGATGAAACTTCTTGAATTTACCCATATCTACAATTTACAATAAGTATCTATTAGCTTAAAGACAGTAAAATTAACCAAAGTCATATTGTACAACTAATATTAAATCATACCATAACTAACGAAAATAAATTCAACTAACTAACAACAACATAATACGAAAATTAAATCATACTATAACTAACGAACATAAATTCAACTAACTAACAACAACATAATACGAAAATTAAATCATACTATAACTACTAAAAACATAATTAGACTATAATACGAAAAGTCTCAACATACCGAAAAATTTCTGTTCTGTGTATTATGCTCGATTTTGGCTGCTGAAATTTGAAGAAAGGGGAGTGGTTATGTTTTTACAACTGCTGGTGGTGTGCTATTTATAGGGAAATCTGCCTACTATTCACCGTTTTTGTCGAAAACGGTGAACACCAATACCGCGTTTGTCTCAAACGGTGAATAGTTGGTAGCTGCGACCTAATTTTGACCTACCAGGAGTGGGAAACGTGGGAAAAGCTCACCGCGTTAAACAACAACGGTGAATCAGTTCACCATTTTCAACCAAAACGGTGATGTATTCACCGTTGTTAACAAACGCGGTGAACCCTTCACCGTTTTAATATGAAACGGTGAATACTTCACCGTTTTAATTAAATACGGTGAAGTATTCACCGTCTTTGTCAAATGCGGTGATGACCTTCACCGCTTTTGTCTAAAACGGTGATGCTCAAACATGTGTACTTTGGGAAAAAATTTTATAACTCATGTATTTTGGGAAATTTTTTTAATAACGTGTGTATAGTGGGATTTTTTTTTCCATGTTTCCAACGTGTTTGTACCCTATCCGATTCATTCACAATCATGAAAACTGGATAATTAGTAAAATCAGAATATTGCAAAAACAACTACAGATAAAAAGAGAACTTTAACAGAGAACCACCAAGTATTCAGGATCCGAAGTCCAAACACATCTCTACTAATTTGCATGGCAACCTTGATATCACTGTTCAATAATATATAAAAATCCGTCCGCAAAAGGACATTACACCTAACTCATGTTTTTTTTAACATCATGATTATTGATATTAGACTCAATTTACGTTGAAACACTACAAATATAACTAATTAAGTGGACGAGAAGTGCACCCACGGATACTTATTGAACAAATACGGGCGAAATCTTGCCAGAATGTTGAAATGATTTCCCGATCAAGTAAGAGTTCCAACGGGAATCCAAGAACACAGGCACTAGCAACACCCAACATTCTTCCACAAATATCTCTGCGTTTCCCAGTTACATAGAGACTCTTTTGCCAATGCAAAGTCAATGTTCCTAGCCGAAAGTTCAATTCAACAGTCACCATTTGCTGTCCCTTCAATTGCTCTCCTCTTGCCTCATTAACCCTGCAGCTTGCAAGAGAGAAGCAGGCAAATTAACTTCATTTATCTCCAAATCTTTACAGGATCAAAGGCCGAACACTGAAAGACAACAGACAAGAAGGGTTTTCATAGAGACCAGAAAATGTCAGCAGCTTTGGGGCCACAATATATGTCTATGCTTTGTGATTTTTTGCCATCTCTTCAACATCCAGCTCCACTTCCAACACGGACATATCCTTTTCCATGCTGACCTCACTGGAAGAAAAGGAAGAAGACCCGTGTTAATGAAAACAGCACCATAAGACCATTGCAGTGAACCGGAGCTAATCAAACACTCTCCCACCTGTTCTGCACGGGGCCATGATCCACAGCGGTTCGCAGACAGTATATAGCACGGCCAACAATGTTTGACATTGGAACAGGACCAAACTTCCTACTGTCATTTGCCTCCTGAGGTCAAACCATTGGACAAACAGTTGGCGGGAGTAAGATATAAGAGATAATTTGTTCGAGCACCAAAGTTTAACAAATTAGAAATGAACAGAGGCACCTCACGGAAAAAAGGGAAAATTTACAGATGGTCACCTACTTTGAATAGCTAAGCTTCTGTTAATCAGTATCCATGTATATAGAATGCCTAGAGCTTAGCTCTGAAAGTTGTGATGAAAGGGAAAATGAGTAAGCAGTGATGGCTCAATGCAACAGTAATACAGAAATGTTTTTCAGACTTAAACTAGCCACTGAGATTTCTCTATGCTCGATGACTAGTAACCGACAACTATGCCCCCTATCAGCAAGTTTACATTTTTTTCCCCGTTGAATTCAAGTTTACATGTTCAAGGGTGGAAGAGATGACAAAACATTACAAGCCGCTTATAAAGATCATTGTAAGCATGCTGTATCATACTGGAACAATATTTCGACACGAGATGCCCACATCATAAATACCATTTTCTGCATTGAGATATTGGTGAACCAGAGAAAACTAAGATGCATGACAACCCCTTGGGCCCTTATAGAGAACAGATGACAATGTGATTGTTCCCCAATAAACCACATAATACTTGCCTCGAAACCAAGTATAAAGAAACTTTAGAAAGGGAAGAAGGGGATGCAACTCTCAAACGCAAACCAAATTGTAATTGCACATGCACATTCAAGCATAAATCCAATGAACAAAAGGAGAACATGAGAAGCAACTCAGTAATAGCAAGAAGAGGACAAGATGATGACGGATTCCCAAACAACACTACCTTGGCTTTCAATTTCTCATTGTCAGCCAACACCCAACACTCTTCTCTGTCAAGAACAAAGGGCTCATCTTTTTCATCATTAGACACCATTTCATACCCTTCAACTGCAGCTAATCGTCTCACAAGATAGTTGTCATCCTTGCCAGGATCCTTCAAGACCACGACATCTCCAACAAAAACTCGCCTGTCAAGGAATGATGAGTTAACAACTCAAGCAAGAATCACAATCAGTTCATGCCAAAGAAACAACCCCTGCAATAGGGCTTGCAACTAAACAACAAAGTAACAGTAAAACTATCATACTCCCTGCAGCAAAACAACTTCCCCTTCGCATTTCCTAGTCCTAGCTTCTCTGACATTTGTCTGTATCTACTTACATGCAAAGAATATTAAAATCTATAAAAATCTTTGGCTTAATTTCTAAGACAGTAATGCCGTCTAACATCGCTAGAATCTGAATTCAATTAACTTGTTCTGGTTACTTTCAGTAATAAGAAAACCAGAAATTATCAGATTTACTGTCCACCCCTTTTGGGAAGACAAGAGACCAGGTTTTCTACCACATGGATTCCTTACTTGATTACTTTGGGGATTACACAGAGCTCCTACCTTGCATTGTAACCGAAGTACCTCAAACTTGACTTTGACACTTAGACATGCACAAGACAATAACCAGCCACATTCATAAATAATTAAACCCCCTCCACCTACAGAGATTTTACCTCTACATCCTCCATTTTTATTCCTTCTAATCATTGTTTTTAAGCAAAGAAACAGAGGCAGTTTGAGGTCTTGCTTGGAAATCTCTTCAAATGCCAGTTTTGAACAAAATAAATGGCACCGAAAGGCGGAAAATATTCCTGAAGTTTCTGCGTTGGACGCATTCTGACGAAGCCATTGGTTCTCTTTTAAAAGCACGGATAAGAAGAATCAATAATAATTACATCACCATCTAAATAGAGATAGACCTCAGGAACTTAACATCTTCTGGTTAAATCAATCCATGTTAATTTTTGTGAAGCAGACACCCCAGTCAGACTAACAGGTTCCTAGAACACAAGGGAGAACCTTATATTAAGTCCACGACGTTTATCAGTAATAGGCAGAGTAAAGATCCTATCTCAGAGCAAAAAGCATACATAAAACTTCTACTTGGTGAAACAGAGAGCAAATGTTTCCCCTAGCGTCTAGAACTATGGAAGCAAATGAACCCTACTCGTTCTTAGACACATACACACAACAAATCTACTTAAGACCTTTCCGACATGCCATCTCCCAGAGAAATGTCATTCAAAGCCAGCTGAGGTATATGAAATATATATATTTAAATCGTAAGGATTAGCTAGAAGCCACTAAAAACAATATGATCCTCTATCAATACAAGTATCAGATTCCTTCCTCAGCCATACGCCTCAACAAATCAACATAAGCCCTTTTCTGGAGGACATGCCATCATCTGAGATGCAGAAAATAAATTCTCTAGCATCACGGGTCATCTACAGACGACAGGCTAAGATAGAATATGATTCTCTAAAATGTATCCAAACATGCTTTATGAACTCATGCAGCAAATAGGTGGGGTTTTTTTTTTTTTTGTAACAAATAGGTAGTTCTTTAAATGAGGAGAAGAAAAAATACGTTGGATCTGCAGCTGGCAATTTCCGGACAAGAAGTGTCCCCCCTTGGTCTCCTACTGTTGGAGCCATCTCTGCCCCTTTATTCCAGTGTAAATATGTTAGCCTTCCTTGGAACAGGTTCTTCCAAATTGTATCAGCAATTTCTGTGTCAGCAATTTGACCTTTCCCATAGTGCTGGGTCAAATTGAAAGATTATCTCAAGGTTAGGCAGCTTCCATGCACAAGTAGTCCCAGGTAAAAAGCAGTAGAACAAAAAAGCAAAGAAGAATGACAATAAACTGAAACACCTCCAAAGGAACTCATCAAAGAATAGCCATAATAAGCAAACCGATTCAGAAATCATTAGCAACAAGTATAAAGGCTAACAGAAGTTCCAACACCTAGCAACTAAAGCACAACAAGACCAGATCTCCATGCAGCAACTGCAATTTGAATTCCAATGTAGGGAATAAAACCAACACCACCCCTTGAGAAAGACCAGGAGTCTCCAAAAAGAACACAGACGATATGAATACATTCCAATTTACAAACTGCATTCAGTCCTCTCAACGACACCTAGTTTCCCTGCCCCACATAGAACAATGCTGAAGGAAATGACCATCCAGGAGAAGCAAGCACTGTCAGCCAAAACAAACGAGAGACCCACAAAACCTAGGAAAGAAGCTGAGATCACGTCACATTTTAGGAAGACCGTGACTTGGCCAGAATCAACAGACATCAATGGCACGCATAAACCAATAAACCAAGCTGAAGTCGCTAGCTTTGGGACGAATTACAAGCATTTAGAAGCAGATGAGAGCTGAAAGGATAGCTGGGAGGAAGTATTACTAGGCGGCGAAATGAGAACCAAAAAAACCCACAACAAACACGAAAGAAATTCCAGTCGGCGAATACACTCATAGACAAGAAAAACAAAAGGAATCCCCGATTCCATGTCGTCAAATTAGCATGGCGCCGCGCAAGTAAAGCAGGAGGAGAAATATTGCTAGGCAATCGTCGGGGAGGGACAACCCACCGAAATTGTAGATGGGTCGCGGAAGGGGGAGAGAAAGAGGAAGTACCTTACGGCTGATGGAGAGGGAGTATTCGAATTTGTTGACTAAGTAGCGGCACCAAGTCGCCAAGGAAACCATTGGAGCTGTGGAGTAGTTGGAATGGGAGTATTGTTAGTAATTCGGAGCTGCTCTCCGGCATCAACCCTTTCGCCTTTCCTGTAAAAAAAAAACCCTTCGCCTTCGATAAACCCTTAGCTGTCTTCGGGTTCTGATCAACCTTTCGTCGGCTCGTCGCGCATGTCTAATTAATTGCTCAATTAAACTTATGTTTGGCCCAAAGTTAAGAAATTTTTTCTTTAAATTCTAAAAATTTATGGGTTGTTTGGATTGATGATTAGCATATGTGATTCGGGACCAAATGTATACAATTTACCTCTCATTTCCTATTCGTTTAGTTTAGTATTTCCTCGACATATTTCACGTTTGGTTGTGCTTGTTTTGATACATTTCAGGTCCTAGCACGTGTGGAAGGGTCGAGGACGAGTTTTGGGATAATTGGAGGTAAAATAGCGCAAAAACAGAAGAAAAGACCGAAGTCCGTGACAATTTCCCCGTAACAGTGAAGTGAAGGCGTCCAGGAAACAGTCGCAGTTCACGGTCGGACAAGGCGTCCAGGAAACAGCCGCAGTTCCAAAGTCCGTAACAATTGCCTCGTAACCGTGAAGTGAAGAGGAGGCATGGGTCGTGAACATCAAGGAGTCTAGGGCACTACCGAAGTTACTGACGCCAGGCGAGTTCACGATCTCTAAGACCGTGAACTGGGCCATTGACCGTGAATCCAGGAGAGTGAAGAGGTGCATTTTGGACGACACTGAGTTCACGGACGCATTTAGGTGTTCACGGCCGTGAACTAGCCAACGCGTTCGTGAACTGGTCACTTTCGGGCAAATATGAAGACAGCAGCGGGGAGAGAGAAAGGGGAAGCTGGTTTTTCTTAGAGAAATTCAATTCCCTCTCTAGGGTTTTGCCCAAAAACACCAAAGGGGAGTTCTAGTGAGAGAGAGAGAGAGAGAGAGAGAGAGAGAGTGATCTTGGAGCATCATTGGAGGCTTGGATGGATCTTGAAGACAAGAATTCAAGCCTAGAAGAAGAAGAAGATCTTGAGCTCAAATTTGTAATCCCTCTCTTCTCTCTCTAGAAACTCACTCTTTTCTATTGGGTGTTGTAGATCCCTAGCTAATACTTTGTAATTACTTGTTTAGATTAAATGATTTTGTATGGGTTTGCATCAATTTGAGTATTAGAGGTGTCTTCATGGTGATTGTGCTTAGTTGTGCTTTCCAAATCTTGTGTGCTTGCCTAACCTAGATTAGAAGAAAACCACACCTTTTTAGGTAGGCTTGACACGCTTGGTTTTCCTGTGCACTTTCTGCCTACTATCTAGGTTAGAGATGAGCATCCCCCTTGACTCAAGTTTGCATCTAGGTTAGTTGTGATTAAGCCGCTCAAACTCTGGTTTGAGGGAGAGCCCTAGGCAACCCCTAGAGATTGAGTGAGAGGATCAATTTCGTGACAAATCGATCTCTAGTGATTCCATCCCGTGACAAATGGATCACTAGTTGCTCCTCCTAGCAGTTCCCCTAGAATTGGTGAGTGGATCGATCCCGTGACAAATCGATCGCTAGTGAATCGATTCCGTGACAAATCGATCACTAGTTGCTCACCCCCGCGTTGCACAACCACCTACACCACAAGACTCCATTCAATCCAGCGAGTCATGGTAGCTAGTTAAGGGGAAGCAAATCCTGGGTGAAGCTCCCTTAGTTAGAATTTTCCTTTATTTACTTTCCTTGCTTGTTTTCATTTGTAGTTTCATAGTTTTAAACCCAAAACTGTTTTGCTAGATAACAACTTAAGCGATTGAACTAGGGGTACATGGACCAGCCCGGGTTGACAATTTAAATACTTGCCATATACTGCACCCGACTAGAGTTTAAAAACTTGGCTCTAGTTGGGATTAATTTGTGGTGTAGTTTCGTGCGAGTCAATGTGTTATGGAGTTAGCCCCAATAATATGTTTGACTTGAGAGAAATGATACAACGTTTGACATTTGTTATTCTCCAAATATCATAAATTTTTTATATTAAATTCTATTTTTTAGCCAAACATTTTCCTCGTTCCAAAATAATAGTCAAACCTTTCAAAATCTTAATAATTAGCCAACTGTTAAGTTTCCGTCAATAATTTCGTTAAATGACAATGAGCTGGCGAATATTGTGCTGACTTGGATCTTAGGTGGCTAAGTGAAGTGTAGGAAAGATGGCAGTGATAGACTAGTGGTGATGATTATTCGCAACTACGCCACAAGTTTGGCTATTATTATTTCTTATATAGTTTTTGTTATGGGACAATCCAAGTACCACATCGGAAATACAAGGGAAGGAACCCTTGTATATAAGTGTCCACCTAGCCCAATCAGTACGAGGCCTTTTGGGGAGGACACCCAAAAGTAAAACCGTGCGGGCTTGGCCCAAAGCGGACAATATCGTACTAATTGAGCGGCCCAGTTTCGACAAGTGGTATCAGAGCCTGATTCGGTGCAATGCGGTGGACGTCAGTTTGGTGGACCCTCATTCGGTGGCCTCGGGATTTGCGATATGCGTCTGGTTTGGTGGATCCACGAGAGATCGATGTTTGGGCTCATCTGGCGGATCGAGGGAGGTCCGCGTTTGTCTGGTGGAGAGATCCACGTCTGTTTGGCGGATTAAAGAGAGTTCCATGTTTAGGAAAAATCCTTGTAACGAGAAGCCCATCGATACAAGGTGTATGTCGGATCAAGATAATCGCTGAGGTGAGGACACAAAGTTCGTGGTCCTTGGCTTGAGGGGAGGATTGTTATGGGACAATCCAAGTACCACATCGGAAATACAAGGGAAGGAACCCTTGTATATAAGTGTCCACCTAGCCCAATTAGTACGAGGCCTTTTGGTGAGGACACCCAAGAGTAAAATCGTGCGGGCTTGACCCAAAGCGGACAATATCATACTAATTGAGCACCCCAGTTCGACAGTTTTTTATTTAAATGATAAGTAAAAATATATTGATGTGGATGCTGAGGTGGAATGTTGGTTAACGGTGTTATTAACAGTTTCATATGAGTGGCTAAAATTTTAGACAAGTATAAAAGGTTAGGCTATTATTTTGTATTACCAAATGTTTGACTATTATTTTGAAATGGGGAAAAGGTTTGGCTAAAAGATAGTATTTACCCAACATGTTATTTGACAAATATCACTGAGAGTGGGAGGATTGATATTCTCCAAATAACAGGTTATTGTCTTTTTTTTCAATTGTCCTCATTCCTTTTTTTATATATCCAAAACTAGCCTCTCCTTTTAGTCCAAATTGTTGTCTCCTCTTTCCTAATTATCATCATACCCATTATTTGTTGACCATTACCTTAATTATGTTTAACACTAACAAAATCTCAATATGTCTTGACACACTATTCTATCAAAAGGCATAAACTTCGTACATATTAGTACCATATAAATGTTTTTAATATATTTTATAATTAATTTGGATCTTTAACACAATATTATGGTAAAACTTCGTATAGAACTCCGTGCATATTAATACTATAGCTAATGTATGTTGACCAAGCATGCACACACACTAGCAGTGGTTTTCCATATTGATCCATCTCGTTGGGAATCATCTTTACACACGGTCGACCCGGATAACACCTCTGTCCGAACGGTGGGGTGATCACCTTTCCTTCATACACTGGCCAGTAAGCTTCATCCGACAATGCACGGAAACTCTTCCCATAGCAGTTCTTGAGTGAGTCAACGTTGAAGAAAGGACTCACGAAGTAAAGAGGGTCTTTGCTCCTATACTTGGTTACGACCATTGCATGAGAACAAAGCAATCCTCTCCCCTGATACTTGTGGCAGGAGCACTCCCCTTATTTTGTCCTGAAGTTCACCTTGACTTCATGGTGATGTCCCCCACTCCTCTTGGTGACGTGGAAGTGAATTTGTCGAAAGAACCATCCATACCTTTCGATATTCTCTCACTCAACTATGGCAAAGACTAAAGGATAGATAGATTTGTTTGCATCCGCTCCACTGGCAATCAAGAGAGTGACATTGTACTTGCCGGTAAGGAGTGTGTCTCCACTTGCATCACAGAGAAGCAGAAGGGAAAATCATCAATAGATGGCTTGAATGACCAGAAAAGGCGCCTCCAACGCCAAATCAATATGGAAAGGTATGCATATGATTCTTCCTAGTCTTCAAACACGGCGGTCATGGCTTTCTGCTTTCCATGCCACCCCTTCTTATAGTTAATATGATATCCATAACGACTTGAAAAGTGGGCAATGATGGTGTTCACCTTCAGGTCGGGTTGTTTGTCCATCAGGTGATTGATAGCCGCGCAATTACCCTGGATTTCAACTACTGATGGCCTTGGGATGTTATGGATGACACACATGTGTAAGTGTTCACCACACATGATATGACCCAATGCCCGACTCTCTTGCTCCTGATGGCACGAACCCTAGCCGCACATCCTTCGTGTTGATTCTGACATCTAACTATGAGCCTTCTCATGTCAGTATGACTTGTGCACCATTCAAAACTCCGATTCATTGCTTCAGTGTCAACAACGTGCCACACCTCTTTCTTCGTACCAAATTGTTGGCCCTTCTTAAACCCAGTGGTTGGACCCCATATTGGCACTTCTGGCGGCTCCATGTCGGCATCAACATACCAATTTTCATCTGGAATGCCCATGTAGTACGTGATAGGAACACATTCACGTGACACCTCCTCATCAACTGAGTCTGGATATGGGCTTGAATCATCAGCATCTTCAAGAGGGTCGAAGTTATCTGCACTGACGCTGCCTTCCTCCTCTTCATCTTCAGGGTCACTAACTCGACCTGGTAGCACATCTTCCATCTCATCTAGATCATGAAATACACATTCATCAGCTTCGTAATGGTAGTTGTGACAACTATCGCTGGCTGCATGGAAGTTATACTCGGGTTGGTACTGGTAGCCTTCTTGTTGGTTGTCATGGTATCGTTAGGCTTCTTCTTCATATGATGGGAAGGATTGATGATGACGACCTCCACCTCCTTCTTGGTACTCATGGTAGGAATGATGATCATGGTAACCTTGGCAGGGATGATCTTCATATAGTCCACCCCCACCATGGATACTAGATGTTTGCCCATCTCGAGAATGCCCTCCACCGCCTTCAACCTCCTCTGTGTAAACAAACATCTCTGTTTGGAAAGG